TCACTGGCTGAGCGAGGGGCAGGCGCAGCACCGAGGGTTGCGATCCCGTTGCCGGACACGAGAAAAGACAAAAAGGAAAAAAAAAAAAAAGAGTCTGATGGTCAGAAAGTGTAAAAGAAAGAAAGAAAAAGCCCAGAATCACATACAAAGAAGTAGCCAGGGCCACCTGTATAATTTGATGGGTCCAGGACAAGATGAAAATGTGGAGCTCCTTGTTAAAAAAGCAGGGAAAAAGTGCTGTTAAAGTATTAAAATACAAAGCCTTTTTCTTTCTTCTGTAGGCTCTCCTTCAACTTGTCATGGTGGTTTTTTTATTTGCTATTTAATGTCATTAAAGGAAACTTAAAATTTTAAATTATTGGCATGAGTTTTACCAGTCGTCATTGTATTGTACAAAACCAGTTTAAATGCAAAGAGCATGTATGTGGAATTTCCAAAATTACACAATCTATATTTCACAGCTTATGAATGCATAATATATATTATATTCTTCCCAGAACAGTAGAAACGCTGCACAGAATTAACTGTTTTTGTTTTACTTTTTGATATGCGTATGTTTTACCAACCTTCTCTACCTTTGCTTAAGGATTAATAAGGAAATCACGAAAGAAAAAGGAACTGTGAATCATCCTGTCTTCCCCTCCTTCTATGTAAGTGGTTGCCTGAGGCTGGGAAGTAACATGAATCAGAAAGGATATGATAAGGTTCCTTGTTTTCTAAAATGCAATTCCCTTCTTTCTGAGCTCCAAACAAGTTCTGTTCCCAGTGGAAACTGTGGCCTCTCTTGGGCTGTTAGCACCCTGTTTGCTCAGTCATAGACATAACATACTTACCTTGTACTCACTTTGAGTCTCACTAAATTTCCGCATATTGTGGGCCCACTGGAATTCTGTGGTCATGGGGTATTGTGAATGCTCTATGTGAATGGTGTGGGAAGGAATCACGGTCATACACATTGCACTATCTCCTCTGTTCGTGTGCATGCTCCACTGTCCCATCAGAATTCGCTTATAAATAAAATTATTAATGTTTTTAAGATAGCAACAGAGCATTAAACCAAGTGTGGGTCCCTTCTGAGTGCTGGGCCCTGGGCAACTGCACAGGTTGCATACCCATCAAGCCAGCCCTGGAGTAGCTAAGTATCTGACTCCAAAGATAAATCTCTTAACACATCACAGGAGTCTCCTCTAATAACACAGGGTAAGGCATTGGCAGAGTGATAAAACAGAGTCAAGAAGAGAAATTTTTAAGAGGCTAAAATACATAACATTGAGCTGCTGCCCTCGTGTTCTGTGATGGTTAGTGCTATGGTCTGAATGTTTGTGTCTCCCCCAAATTCATATGTTGAATCCTAATCACCAAAGTGATGGCATTATATAGAATTCTTGGCTGAGTCTTTTTCTTTCAGTACTTTGAATATATCATCCCACTACCTTGTGGCCTTCATGATTTCTGATGAGAAATCAGCTGTTGATTTTACTGAGGGTCCTTTGTACCATAATATGTTGCTTTTCTCTTGCTATTTTCAAGATTCTCTCTTTGTCTTTGACACTTAACAGTTTTATTATAATGTACTAAGGTGTGGCTCTTTGGGTTTATCATACTTGGAGTTCATTGAGCTTTGTGGACGTGTGGATTAATGTTTCTCATCACATTTGGAAGTTTTGACCATTATTTTTTTCAAATATTTTTTCTGTCCTTTCCCATCTCTCCTCTCTTTCTGGGAATATCTTTATACATATTTTGGTGGGCTTGATGGTGTACCACAGGTCTCTCTTCCTTTTCTGTTCCAACTCTCATTCCCATTTCTGTTCTCTATAATACATAATTAAATACATGAGAGTATTTCAAAATGTTTGTGGAAAAAGAGAATTAAAAGATAATATGAATCTTGTCATAAACTTTGGGAAGTACCCTCGTATCTTGTATTTCTTTGGGGTTTTGTGTTTCCCAATCCTAATTGAGTTTTACTTTCCTTATTTATAAAATACGAGGTACTGTCTACTCTGTACACCCAAGAGGGTTTTTGTGAGTTTCAGATAATACTTGTTAAAGCTCCACAAACCCATAAACTGGTTCTGTTGCTTCCTAGCTCATTTCTTTGAGTGTTTCTTTTCTCTTTCATATTGAAGCTAATAATAAGAAGACATATCTTGATTTTTTTTCTTATAAAAAAATCAGCAAAACTTTAGCATTTCACATGTGATAAAATTGTTGCTTCAGGTTCTTATATGTGATAGACTGTGATATTTTAAATATTATTTTATAATTTTTCAAATGTTAGAATTTTTGTGTTCTGTCATCAATTCCTCAAATAACTTATTGAGTTTAATTTTGTATGTCTATGAATTAAATTTTTAAAATTTAAATTCAAAGCATCAGAAAAACATCAGTTTTTAAACTCAAAAATTTAAAAGCTGAGTGTCAAATTAAATTTTAAACAAATAGAATAAAACAACTCAAATTTCAAATTTGGATTCCAAAATATAAAATATATGAAAGCTTACACACTGATCCATGGAATAGAATAGAGAATCCAGAAATTAACCCACACACCTACAGCCATCTGATCTTTGACAAAGGCACCAAGCCTATTCACTGGGGTCGGGACTGCCTCTTTAGCAAATGGTGCTGGGAGAACTGGATATCCATATGCAGGAGAATGAAACTACACCCATACCTTTCACCATACACTAAAGTCAACTCAAAATGGATTAAAGAATTAAATATACACCGTGAAACAATAAAACTTTTTAAAGAAAACATAGGAGAAACACTTCAGGCAGCAGGACTGGACACAGACTTCATGAATGTGACCCCAAAAGCATGG